GCCCCCAGTTACTTCGTCTGTTGCATCCAAAAGGAAAGCAGCAGCAACAGCAGGGTCCCCCCCAAAGGCAACAAAGGGCCCCCGAGTCTTACCCTTGTCTCCACCAGCAGCAGCAGCAGCAGCAGCAGCAGCAGCAGCAGCTGCTGCTGCTGCTGCTGCTGCTGCTGCTGGTGCTGTGCTCCCAGGTGCCAGGCGGTCCACAGCCAGCACTTCCGCTGCAACGCCACGCAAACCCCCAGCAGCAGAATCAGCATCCAAGGCAGCTGCTGCTCTGTCCTCTAGCAGCCTCAGCTGCTGCTGCAGAAGACTACGCTCGCTGCTGCTGCTGCTGCTGCTGCTGCTGCTACTGTTGCTGCTGCTCGAGACAGGGATTGCTAAGGCCAACTCAGAGTTTGCTGCAGTCTCTTCTGCAGCAGCAGCAACACCAGGGGACAGCAGCAGCTTCCTACGTTTTGGCTCGTGCGCTGCATCTGCTTCTGCTTGACTCCCTTGCAACGCCTCTTGCTGCTGCTGCTGCTGTTGCTGCTGCTGTTGCTGCTCCTCTCGATCCTCTTGCTGCAGGTGGTGCTCTCGGTATGCTTGTTGCTGCTGTTGTTCTTGGTCCCCGCCAGCCTGCTGCTGCTGCTGCTGCTGCTGCTGCGGATCCTGCGGTGAACTGGGGCCTTCCAGCGCCAAGAGTTGCTGCTGACAGCTTTGCGGCACTGCTGCTGCTTCTTGCTGCAGCAGTACCTCGCTCTGTGCCGGCATAAGCGCAGCAGCAGCTGCTGCAGCTGCTTCTGTTGCTGCTGTAGCTTCTGTTGTTGTTGCAGTTGCTGCTGCTGCTGCTGCTGCTGCTGCTGCTGCGTTCAGGGGTAAGAGCTGAGACGCAGGGAGGCTGAAGAACCCCCTATGCGCCTTCGAGCGAAAGGAGGCGCCCATCATAGGAAGAGTACCAGGCGGGAATCCTGCTGCTTCTGCAGCAGCAGCAGCAGAAGCAGCAGCAGAAGCAGCAGCACCCCCTGTTGCTGCTGCAGCAGATGAGGCAGGCTCCTGCTGCTTGGCTGTGCGCCGACGCTCCGCTGCTGGCAGCAAAGCCAGAGGTGTATCTTCCTCAGAGTCATCTGCTTCAGTTCGTGCTGCTGCTGATGCGGGTGTTGTCTGTGCTGCTGCTGCTGCTGCTGCTGCTGCTGCTGTTCCTGCTGCACCTGCATCGCCTTCAGCTGCTTCTGCACTGTCCCAAGAAGGCTGCTGCTCTGGTGTAGCGTCGCAGAGCTGCAGCAGTGTGGAACTCCCGTTTTGCTGCTGTTGTTGCTGCTGCTGCTGCTGTTGCTGTTGCTGTCGCTGCTGCTGCTGCTGCTGCTGCTGCTCCTGTTGCTGTTGCCGGTGTTTGAGAAAGAGAAGCAGGAAGAGGAAGTCATGTTCGTACACCGCGTCTACCTGCACTCATGCACCCCACACTTGTGTCTCTAAACAGCAGCGAAAGCAGCAGCAGCAGCAGCTGCTGCTGCTGTTGCAGCAGAGCACTGCGGTTGCTGCTGCTGCAGCAGAGCACTGCGGTTGCTGCTGCTGCAGCAGAGCACTGCGGTTGCTGCTGCAGGTGACATGAGGGGATGAACGGCATGCATAGAGAGACACACACGCCACGAGGAGGCGGAGACAAAGTACAGGAGAGACAAAGACAAGAGACAGTGCGGGGACCCCACAAAGGTAAAGACAAAACGAAGAAGAGTTTGCTGCTGCAGTTGGGGTGTATCCGCAGCTCACTATCTCTGCTGTTGTCTTGGGCGTCATCCTGCGCCAGGCTGAG